GAGCGTTCATCTCCCCTAATGCCGAGATATTTAATAGCATACTAAAATTCCCCATTCACCAACTTCTAGTGGTGTATATGTATGCTTTAGTGGTGATTCATTTGGAAAATATTATGCACTTTATTAGGGGGTCTATTACTATTTTTATATGTAGTGAGCTTGGACTTTATTAGTGCAGTTGCATGAATACTACTTCTGGAGGAGTATTCTCAACTTCTTGTTGAGTCCATAACTTATGGTGGATTATAAACTATTGCTCTGCAAGTTCTTGGTTTCAACAAATGCATATGCAGTCTTTTAGACTTAACACCTGTAGTTACGAAGTAACCCATAATTTAGCCATAGCAATCATTTAGGAGCTAATGCTCACTAATTGTTGTATAATTGACAATCAATCTATCAATTACGTATATTGACCTTCTAGGTCATATGCATGAGGAAAGACAATCATGGTGGCATTGTGCTTTCAGGCGCGTTGAGCTTGGTGTGCATAAGTATGATAGCAAGAATATGGCATTTAGCCGTGGTTGCCAACAAGCAGAAATTTTATATGTAGAACTATTTCATAGTCTAGCTGTTTTTTGTTTATTGCCCAAATTTTGACCCAATTACTCATACTATTTAGAAAAATTGAGTCATTATATTTGTTGCAACATATTTTGTGTTCTATATAAAGCATGACTTGGATCAATTCATTGCTCAACATGAAGAGAAGCTTTTAAAGAGAATAGATAAGACCAAGAATTTTTATTTATCTAGGAAAAGCCTTTTTTTAATGTAAAGTCATTGACTTAAGAAAAAAATAGTTTCTTGGCAACAACTATAATGATCAATATCCTTCTAGGATAGACTCCCAAATGATAAAGTAACTTTCGTTGGTAAAAGGTACATTTAAGAAACATATGTAGTTGTCAAGATCCATATGACCTTTCAGAGCCTAGCATAACTACTCTAGCCGATAATTAATTAATATCAAAATTAGCTTCTAGCTTTATTGTGATGTGGGATTCATACAGATTGCCTGCTTTTCATCTTCTGGCTGATGGCAGGTAGATCTTAATAAATTAGGTGAGGTGTGGCATATACAGGACTACTAGCCAGTATACATTGTTGTTAGAGTAGTCACTCCACCCGTATCATTCCACTTACTTTACTTGTAGACAACACAACGGTTTTCTTCCATGATGCCCACTGTCATTTCAGTGGTTGTGGGTACTTCTAATTCTGAGTTCTGATATGCATTTCAGGGCTTCACTAGTCCAAAGAAGGACATGTAATTTTCTCCATCAGGAAGAAATATTATGTTTTCACACTAATTATGAAAAATGTCAGAATATTAATTCTATATTTTGTATCAACTTCGTGTTGCCAAGAGAGACATATTATCTATCTATCAGTTTAAAGTCAGGAAACATTAGTTTGAAATAAACCTTGGTTAGGATGACACCTCATGCTGGTTCTGCAGCAGAGATACAAGGACAACATGTTGACTTCATATCTTATGTTGACTCGACTAATGTTTGTAAGCCTATATTATAATGTTTAGAAATTATACCTAGGCAAGGTATTATCTCCCCTCGAGGGAAGGTACAAATGACTCCCAAATTCAGGTGTATGATATACCGACAAGTGGATTTTTCTTCAGGTTACTTCGGGTAAATAAACCAAAGCATTAAAGAGAGCGCTAGAGTAACAATTGGTCTTAGGATACATGTTTCATTTATTTCCCAGATTTTTCCAAGCATATGTGTTTCTTTAGGTTATTTATATTGGCCTTGGTAATACTTCGGGATTACTATCCCATATAATATCCACAAACAAACAATGCAAGGAAAACATAAAAGCCAATATAAAACTTCCAAGGGATCTAAACCATTTTATTCAAAAAAATATATGAAAGATCATAAACCTAGAAAATTCTGCTTCTAGATTAAATAGTGGAAAAAGCACTATCTCCAAACAAATTAATACTCTGAAGAGAGGTACTTCAGGTCCGGATCACAAAAATATCCACATATTATACCACTGCCAAAAAAAATTCCTGCTATTGTATTTAACTTCAGGTTTTTTAATAGCAAAAACATATGTACCATACACTCAAGCTCATGTGCAAGATATTGCCATAAAATACATAAACCTTCAGGGCTTTTCAAACTAGTGCGAGCCGCGAGGGCACCAAGGTGTTTGTACATCGGCAGGTGCGTAACAGCTCCTGCTTGCACTTCTGGTGGTGAGCAGTGCATATTGGCCGCTCAATGGTGGTATGCAGGTAGCAAAACCCGAACGACGACAACTTCAGGCGCCACGCATGTTGTGTCCGACTTCGAGCAATGTGGTTCCAATACAGCAGTAGTGGGGGCGATCTGCTGCGGGCTATGTCGATAAAAAAAAATCTCTATCTAGAGTTTAGTCGAGCATGTTCAACAAAGATACGTTTAGCATGTGCTTGTTCAAGACAAAAAGTTCAATCTACTAGCATTCTTCAGAATTGATTCTAGTAGAACTTAAAGCACGCATGCATGGCAGCACGATTCAATAACTGTGAAAAATACCACCGAAGGTGTTTTTTTCACATGCAAAGATCTAACAGACTGCATGTGAGCATTATTGACCGTGGTCCGTGGAACGTACCAAAAAAATAAATAAACACGAGTAGAACACATCGGGTGTTATATGAAAAAAAAACTATTAGTCATGTACGCTTCGAAAGATCTACTAGAAATATTAAAATCTACAGGATTTATAATATGAATCTAGTAAAATAGTAATGGCGAAGAGACTCGATGACAAACCGTTGTACATTCGTCTTTGTGGAAAATTCGTACCGCGTAGGACATATAGCTAGGCTAGGGCATGACCTGCCTGCTCGTCGGCTTGGCCACAGGAACGTTGACCAGTGTTTGATGTTGCTTCAACAAGTGCCTCCACGCCGATGATCGACAAATAGATCACATGCACCATGCACGCCGGAGTCCAAATATGAGATTAGAAACGGTGTCAATGTGTGAATCAAGACCAATCCTTGATTAATGGCAATGAAACATGGCTGATCTATTACAAGTAGATCAATAATGACTTACACAGTAGAGACCTCTAGGAACGTGAACGATATGACGAGCATCACACCTCAACGGCATCCATCTCATGTGCATGCATGTTCACGGCATCCTTTTTGATCCCAGCATGGCGTGTGGCTACCTGATTCGCAATGCCTCCGTGTGCCCAATGTTCATATGTTATTCATACGTGCTAGATTGATAAAAACAAATAAATCTGGAAACGTCACGCATGGCTAATTAAGCCACGACGATGCACTAGAGACCAAGACACTCCGTGTAGTCAGCGGGATCGGTGTAGTGGTAAGGATCAATTGCGCCAGCAGATCGGATCCAGAGCTGCTCGCACGAGCAACTAGCGACGACGGGATGGCCAACGCCACCCATGAACGCATGGATGGACGCCAAGGCTCGCGTGTTGCCGAATCGAGACGACGCCGAGCCCCATGTCGGAAAATCAATCTATGATTAGCAAAATCAAATAGATCTTGATTTGATGGCAAACAAACTATGAACGACTCACCCAGTTGAAAGAGCTGCTGATAACATGTTGAGAATTGGCCTATTCAGGGATTACCAGATCCACTTTTCCGTTCCCGGTCTCATAAATAGGCATGTAGAAGTTGTAGATAGATACCGTCTCCCTCTCTCGATCCTCAAGAACACATGGGAGACAAGTATATATGAGAGGAGGCATATCTTCATTAATCAATAGACGTATATGTAGTCCCTTTATATAGATACATTCAGGGCATAGATGGTAGGAGCCCATCAGGACGTATATGGTATGAGCCTATCAATTCTCTAATACATATGCCCTGTTCGGCTTGGTTACCACACCCATTAGTGAAATACGGATTATGTACTTATATCCGTATTTTTGTCAAACTTCTTGTTTTTTTTCAGCTCTAATTCAGAATGATATAAAAGTTGATGTACCGTAAACATCCTGTACTGTTTTAGTTTGTTTGAGCTCTCAAATTCTTTCGATTCTCCATCAAATTTCATCAACAAATGATAATTCAAATCAGCCGCTATAATGAGTGTCATTAAATGGTGCCTCCTCTATATTAAGATCAAATCATTAGTGTTTCGCATTTGAAATTTTTTCAACGAAGCGGGGTATATCATAATTGAGGATTCTTAACGGTGCCAACTAAATATGGCTGTTGATTTTCCGTTGGCCGCTAATTCTTCATGTGCAAGGCCAGGCTTTATCAATCCAAAACCTAACTGCTCGTAGCTATGGTAATTTATCAAATAATAAGATACATATATACTACAACTAACCAAAATGCCATGATAATTGGTGTGATCTATAGACTATGGACCTGCTCGGCGTTGCAGCCATTTGGGCTGCAGCACAGCCACAGCCATCTCTTCCTAATACTGCAGTACTTTGCAATATCAATAGGTTTGGTTTGGTGGGGTAAGTCACTAAGTCCTTGCTCTAAAGAAAACAAACTGAGAGAAAAATCTTTCTTCCGGACTCGTGCCTATTGGACTTGCGCAAGACAGAGTAGATCCATGCCGCCGTGCCGATGTCCGTCTTGTTTCCCCTGCATTCCCATCACTCATCAGGCCCATGACCGTCTCCAAGCGTAAGCCGACACTAGCTGCGTTCTAATCCCTGTGCTGGTGTGCGTTCGTCATGTAGCGCGAGCAGAAGCCTAGCTAGCCCGACAAGGCAAGCACCACGGCGCGCGCGAGCGCGCAACCAAACGGCTGCATCACGACGGGATCGCGTGCACCGACGACCCTTCCGCCGCGTCGCCCTTCTCACCTTCTCTTCTCAGCTTCTCTTCCAATTTGGGTCCGACGCGCTGGTCTGCTCGCGCTTTCTCGGCCCCGTCCGTAATCTGTCTCGCCAGCCAAGGCGGACACCTGGAGAGCCCCTGCCAGTGGCAACGCGTGTCCTCTCAACGTGGCACCCAGCGCTTGCCCATGCAGGACACGTATCCCCCGGCCTCCGCTTTGAAGCTCGAGCTTATAAATGTGAACCGACCAAAGAAGCAGCTCGTCATCACGGAGACACAACACCAGCGAGTTAACAAATTAAAAGCCTTTTTAGTGCCAGTCCAGCTGAAGTATTCGAGCTCAGGGAGGCTCACGGTTTCGTTCGATCCAATCCTTTGGACAAGTTCAGCGATGGCTTCTCGTCAGCAGCATCCTGCTAGCTACCACGCCGGCGAGACCAAGGCCCGTGCCGAGGTGACGAGTCGCGCACCGCGCGCCCAGCCGGCGTGCCCGCGTGTTGCACGCTCCACGGTCCTTGCACTTACCTACTCTAGACAGTAGAGACACTAACGATGTTTGCTGGCTGGCTGCTGCATTGCAGGAGAAGACGGGCCAAGTGATGGGTGCGGCGCAGGAGAAAGGGCGGGAGGCCAAGCACAAGGCGGCCGACGCCGCGGACCGCGCCATGGGGATGGGCCACGACGCCAGGGAGGCGACCAGGGAGAAGGCGCGCGACGCCGCGGACCGGAGCATGGGGATGGGCCACGACGCCAAGGAGGCGACCAAGGACAGGGCGTACCGGGCCAAGGACGCGGCCTCCGACGCCGCTGGCCGCGCCACGGGCAAGGCGCGCGGCGCCGCGGAGGCCACCAGGGAGAAGGCCTGCGAGTCCAGGGACAGCGCGTCCGACGGCGCGCAGCAGACCGGGAGCTACATCGCGCAGACGGCCGAGGCCGCCAGGCAGAAGGCGGCCGGCGCCGCGCAGTACGCCAAGGACACCGTGGTGGCCGGCAAGGACAAGACCGGCGCCCTCCTGCAGCAGGTGAGAGATCGATGCACGTGATACTAGTCATTATTAACTTCTCCATCGTTAATACTGCAAAAACTGGTTTTCTATCGATCTCAAGTGTGTTCTTCGTTCGGCTGTTCAGGCAGGGGAGAAGGTGATGAGCACGGCCGTGGGGGCCAAGGACACGGTTGTGAACACAGCCGTGGGAGCAAAGGACGCGGTGATGAACTCGCTCGGCATGGCCGGCGAGAACAACGACGGCACCACCGGCACCACCAACGCCGGCAAGGACACCAGCACCCGCAAGCCTGGCAGGGACTATTAGAAGACTGGTGGACGACAGCCAAACTTTCAGTGTTTCCGTATCTGTTTCAAAAGTTTCTGATCCCATTTAGGTTCAAAAGTTCCCATTTTCCATTTTAAATTTTCAGTGTACGGTCGCACCTAGGTTTGATTTCGAGTTAGTGTTTGCGTTCTGTTTCTGTGGAGCTCCTAACCTTTTCAAGACAGGGCTCGTTTGGCATTGTGTCAACACTGAAGCCTCTGTGCCCTGTTCGTTTGGTTAAAATTTAGCTTTTACTGGCCTTCCGAGAAGAAAACACCGTTCGTTCAAAAAAGCGGTGCTAAAATAGCAGTGTGTATCTCCGAATGTCCAGTCTTTCCCTACCTCCGATCCCTGTTGGCTTGCTTTGCTACTTTGCATTTTTTTTTTTTGCTTCCTATCAACCTCCTCTCCTCTTTGTACGACGGCACGACAAAATTAAAGCAAACCGAATATAGAACACAAATGACGTCGTGTCCCGACGTCCGCGTAGTGTCCGGACGACCGACGCTCGCGTCAGAGCCTGCTGCACGCACAGGCAGGCCACGGGCCCCGCTCGCGCCACTCACTAATCGCCTTATTGACTGATATGCTGATTTGGTTGGAAAGAAAAATACAATTTGTTAATTGAAAAAATACAATTTATAAGTCTAATCAGCCTAAACAAACAGTCCAAACAAACAGAGCGAATGTTGTCTGTGTTTCTACACGCCTGCTGCGCGGCTCCTTTCTGTCCACAGCGCCACTCCCTGGTGAGTGTGAGTGGCTCACATTTGGACGTGCATAACATCTATCATGATCTACTTTTGAAATATCAAATGAAATAACTGCAACATACGTATGAAACAGCTGAAATATTCAAAACATATGTATGAAACACATGCAAAAACATTTGAAAAACAATTGCAGATATATGTAACATTCAGATAAAACATTTGTAATATATGTGAAACATATGCAACATCCAGATAAACACACTTGCAACATATGTTTAAGAAAAACAGATGAAATATTAGGAACAGATACTTACAACATATGTGTACAATCATTGCGATATGTTCAACATCTCGATCTACTATTGCAACATCCACATGAAATACTTAAAACATACCTACGAAACATCTGAAACACTTTAAACATGCGCTTGTAACTTGAGAGAACTCGGGGTTGTGCGATTCCAGCCGTCAGGGTAGGAGCCGGCGTTGCGCGAGCACGACAACGACCACCACCATCGCTAGCAGCACCGGGCTTGGCTCGGTCGGACGGGCGGCATGCGCGATGGCGGGAGCGAGTGGTGCGGGACGGGCGCGCGACAGCAATGAGGCGGAGTGGGCGCGCTTCGTCCGGACGGGAAGGCCGTGGTTGGAGAAGTCTGCCACGTTAGAGAAGGCCAGCTGGTGGGCGGGCGGCGTGGTGGATGCGTCCACGGCGGTCGCATGCGTGCGATAGTGAGGAAAGAAAATGTCGTTGTATTTTTTATTTTTTTAGAAACCGTGTCGTACTGAAGTTGGAGTGGAGGAGGTATGTTGAGCCCAATCGTTGAACAGGCCTAGGAACGAGCCGTCGGACGGAAGACCTCTGGATGGACACTCATGTGCCAGCATTATAGTTCCAATAGCGGAAAAACAGGTCCAACATGTCAAGTAGATTTATGTGAGTCTTGCATGAAAAACTGGTATGCTAACTGCTATGCTAAATATGATTTCGATATATATATATCCTATACTCTTATAAAACAAAATCCCACTAATAATTTTTTCTCATTCCACAGCGGTCTACGTCAGCATTCGCTCTTGGCCTACGCATCCACCTCCCCTCAAATCAAAGTGCGGCATCCTCTACTTCTGATCCTTGCAAAGTGGACAACGGTTTTTAGAAATGCATGTACATGCAAAGGGCGCTGCACTAAATCCTTGCCGTTTCTCATGTGATCCCATAGCCTCTCCACCTATTTGATTCTTCGGCTTCCAAGTCCACCAACAGCCACAGGCCTGTCCCTTGGACTCACACCATAAAAAATTCAACTGCTCAACTTCTATGCTATAGTTAAATGACGCGCTCGTATATGAGCAGAGCAGCCCAGTCTGCCCACCGAGAGGCATCAAGCAATGCCTCACACGGCCATGTGCCTTTCCCGATGCCTCTGTAACTCTGTTGGAATGTCATCTTGGTACTTCCCACACGTTCAAATACACACAACACCAGGCAAGAACAATATCTTAATCCTAGCGTTAAAGCCCTGTAATTGTATGTCTACGTTTGTATTATTTTATCTCTCCCATTTTTGTTAGAAAGGAGTTTACAAGGTAAGTTTGTAATCCTTTTCTTTATCTTTTCTGTTTGTTTGCGGCTTTCAAGAACTTTCTCTCAAGGAAACAAATTACATATTCTACCTGATCACATGTTTTTTTGTTTTTCGATTGTGTACTCCACAGGTTGAAGTATTGTTTCATATGATCATTATATCCCTTTGTTTATTGATTCGACAAAAAGTGGGTAACTGCAAATTCCTAAACACGTCACTGTAATTTGTTTGGAGATTTAGTTCCTCAATCTTAACAACTTTTGCTATATATACTGTTCAAATTATAATCTGATGTTTTTTTACCTTTCAGATTCCATCCAATCTATTAGGTATGTTACTCCAACCACAAGGTACAACAAGATGCTTATCTGACTTTCCCTCAAACACGGGGCACTGCACTACGGAGTTTTAGATGGTAATATGTATCAATTCTATGTCCATAAATTTTCATCATGTATAGTATAACACTACAAAATTCCTGCAGTGCGAGTACCGGTGGAACAACACAAATACAGGAAGAAACAATTGGTGCAGCTCAAGAACAAGAAGCACAATAGCTGCTCAAGAGCCAAGCCCAGGCTGCTGGTGCTCAAGAACTATAAACAATTTGAGAATAAATTTACCACGTCCTCCCTCAATTTCATCCTAGAGCTATGAAAATGATCGTTATAGTCCTCAAATTTTATATTTTGGGATCAATTTTATTTATAAACTACCAAAGTGTGTTATGTTCTTTAAACTTTTATTTTTAACTCAACTTTGTCTACGTTCTATGTGGAACGCTACACTGTTGCACCTGATTAGCTCCAACACCATCAATGATTGGAGATAGAAAAATAATGAGTTAAATGCATCAGTGGTCCATCAACTTGCACTCTAGTTTCACTTAGTTCCATTAACTCTGAAAGTGGGTTTTTGGGTCCATAATCTTTGTTAGTGGTGCATTCCTAGTCCATACCTCTTTGTTTCAGTTTTTTAACCAACGTGGTTGTCCATCGTGGTGTCCAGGTTGGATTTGGTGGGAGTTTTGGTGCCAGAATGGTTGGTGGAAGAATGCATTTAAGTCCTTACCTGAGTTATTAAATGGCAACCCATCCTCCTATCTCTCTTCCTCACTCTCCACTAGCTGACCAAATCGTTCCCCTTCTCTCTGTGTGCTTACAACCGACGCCATTCACCATCTCATCCACGAGTATGGAGGTCGGCCACTGCATCGGCTTCAAATCCGCTGACATCAGATGGTATACCACTAATTATTTGCACCGACTGCAATCGGAGGCGAGTGGTACGCCGGGTTTCAACGAAACCATGGAGCAAAGGAGAGGTGTTCTTATGTTGTCCAACCCACAAGGTCAGTGTAGATTGTGTTCCTTGTGATTTCCTTCATTTTTGCTGTTTTGGCGCACTAATTTTGGAATACCACTTTACATTGGTGATGGATCTGGTTTCCTGCAGCCTAATAGAATTGGGTGCCCTTTTTTCTACTGGAAGGATGAGTACGTTGCATATCTGGAGCAACTGAGAAGAGAAGACAAGTTGGTTGATGATTCAGTCAATGTTAGGCTTGGCGATGGTGCCGATTTCAACATAAATAAAGCAGCAATGCTTGACACTGGTGGTGACTCAAATATTAAGGACTCAATAGCTGGTGCTTTGACTGAGATAAAGAAGCTGGTTGGCTTGTGCAAAGTTGCTTGTCTTCTCCTATTATGTATCTTGTTTGTGCTTTTGTTGCTGTTGTGTGCCATTCTTGTAAAGAACTGAATGAATGTTGTTTGTAACTAAAGCAAGGTCATTATAACTGAATCATTTGTGAATGAAACCATATGTTTCAGCATACTACCATAACCAGCAAGTAAATTAGTCTGATAATGTACATTACCGTTGTCCCCAACCATTCTATCTATTTTCTAGATGGTAGCACTTAGAGTTGCTGCTATCCAAAAGCTATAAGGTAAGCTGTTGTACAAAAGTTAGCAGTGAAGTGGCTGCTATACAAAAGTTGCTAGCAGTTAAGTTACTGCTGCACAAAAGAAGGAAGTAATAGATAATGTTTTGCTGCTTTACAAAAGGATTACATATCACACATGCATGAATTTAGTTTTCAGCTTCAGTTGGAGCCTTCTTCCTCCCACCAGTAGCCATCTTCTTCTGCAGGTGTAGTTCTTTTGCCTTCATGGTTGCAATCCTTTTTCTCCCAGATTTGGATATTGTGGTTAGAGGCGCAGGTCTTGCTGCTGGAACATTAGAGCTAATGAAAGCTGAGTCAGGGAGAGGTTGGTTCACTTGTATCCTGCTCTGGGTTGACTGCAACATAAAATTATTTCAGTTAAGAAATATAACTATTGAATGGCTAAGATGGGCTGGTTGACTGACCTCTTGTTTCATATGTGATACCATGGTGGCACTGAGTTGGCTCATCAAAGGAATAATGGAGTCTGACCACATAACCACCTATATAATAGTGTGCACAAAAATGTCATTACATAAAAAACACTTCACATAGAGCATGGCAAAAATTTTTAAGAGACCTGGCTCTGTATTGTCCCATCATCATCCATCTCTTCTGGTTGGCATCCTCCTAGATTGGCTTGTTCTTCTGGTTGGGCATTGCTTGTATGCCTTAGTGGCAGGACACCAGCCTTTCTCAAGCTACATCCCTTTTTATTATGGCCTACATCTCCACAATACCTGCAGT